CCCCCCCCCCCCCCCCCCCCCCCCCCAATCCGCCATGTACCCCCTAGTATTTGATCTTTCACACGGGACCTGATCTTTGGAGTTGGGATAGGTTGGATCGGGTGAGGTGGAGTGTGGAAATTCATTTTGATATGAGAAATACATTTATCATATCAAGATGGATTCCCCAACTGCACGTGACTCGACCAAGCCAACCCCAACCTCAAAAATATGCATTTCATTCTTGTACATATATATAAAAATAAAACGTATATTTTTGGGGTTGGGGTGAGTTGCATAGGGTTGGGTCCAGTGAGGAAATTTTTTTTCATATGAAAAGTATATAAGAATGAAGTTTATCAGTGGGATACCTAGGGATTTTCGAGTATTGGGCAATTCTTCAGTCAAACTATTTTGAGGATTGGGCAGCTATGGAAAATTGAAAAGTTCGCTGGGCTACAGTTTTTAAAACTTCTTACCTTTTCAAAAGCCAATGTTGATTGAAGAGAAAAGTCAACAATCCTCAACCAATAGACGAGCATGCTCGGTGTCTTTGTACTACTTCATAAACGTATTTTTCAATTTTTCAGTGTTTTATCATCTTTTCTGTCAGAACTACCACGATAGCCATATATTTTTTAATTGAGTAACACAGGTGGATACCCAGCTTCGAAGCCCTACAAGTGTAAGAAATTGTTCGTTACTAAGGCTCCACCAGCTCCAGTTCACGAACTCCGTTCAAATGAACTAAAGAACTGTTGGAACAGCTCAGTTCAATGAACTCAACTTTTTCAACAGTTCTTCTCGGATGAACTGAACTTTTTCAACAGTTCTTTTGAAAGCAACTGAACTGTTTGAACAGTTCTTTTGAACGAACTAAACTTTTTCAAACAGTTCTTTTCAAATGAACTGAACTGTTCAAACAGTTCAGCTCTATGAACTGCTCCCATGGTTCCCTCAGGCCTATCCTGTAGGAGAATCCATAGGTCCTCAAGACCTATCTTATAGAGGTAATCATAGGTCCTTAAGGCCTATCCTATAGGGGTACTTATAGGCCCTCAAGGCCTATTCTATTGGGGTGTTCGTATATGATAGGTCAGAGGGACCTATGGATGCCCCTATAAAATAGGCCTTGAGGAGCTATGAGTACCCCTACAGGATAGGCCTTGGGGAGCTATGGGTATCCCTATAAGATAGACCTTGAGAACCTATGGCTACCGCTCTAAAATAGGGCTCCAGAACCTATGGGTATCCGCATAGGATAGTCATTGGGAACCTACAATTATCCCGATATAATAGCCCTTGAGAACCTATGGATACCTCTATATAATAGGGCTTGAGGACCTATGGGTATCCCTATATGATAGCCGTAGGGAGCCTACAGGTGCCTCTATATGATAGCCCTTGGGGATCTGTGGGTATCCCCATTAGGGATGCAACGGTGACGGTGGCCATCGTAGTCACCGGTCATCGGTTCGTCGTTCACCGGTCTCACTGGTCCACCGGTTCACCGTTCACCGGTGTGGGTGTGGGTGTGGGTATGGGTGTGGTATTCTTATTTTTCCCTATAAACCTACACCCACACCCACACTCACACCCACTCACACCCACCCACCCACACCCACACCCACACCCACTCACACCCACATCCACACACCCACCACCCACACACCCACCACCCACACCCGCAATATGATCTGTACACCATACTTAAATAAAACTCTCATGTCATATCTCTACTCGGTAATAAACTTGAAGTAAATTATGATAGCATAGAAATAAAGAGAAGGAAACAATTTTGTTCGGGGGTGTAACGTAGACAGATTTGGCTTTTATCGAAGCAACCTATATTTTAGTTTCAACTAATCTGAATTGCTTCATCCACTTTTACGCAGAGTTGACCTTCAAAAGCAATATCAGAATGAATTTTACAATTTCTGACTTTTCATAAAATTTTCCTGTCTATTTTCCTGATTTTTGAATGCATGTAGTTGCGACCCCTGCTGTACACCTAAATTGGTGAGTGCCTGAAAGTAGTGAGAGATAGTCAGGGGGCTGAGTCCGATCACTCTTAGTTTTCTGGTTTCGCCGCTAGTTTATGCTTAATCATAGTTCTGATGGTTTCAGTAGGGAGAGGGTCAGCGCTTTTTTGTCGAGTGCCACGTTGTTGATCGAACTTTTAAGACACTAAGAAAATCTTGAAACATCCGAAACCATTCGTAGAGTTACATGTTTGCTTCATGTGTGATGTACCCTATTTTTTGAACATAAAATCGAAACCATGGTGGCGTATGAATTCCAATTGATTTGTTTATATAATGTTGTTGGTGTTTTAGAACGATATTATTAAATTCAGCGAGAATTGGAAAATGATCGCTTCCCATGTATGGAAGTTGTCGGCATTGCACTGGAAATTCGTATTCCGTTGAGGTAACGAAATCGATAGTTGCTTTTGAGCGTAGATATGTTGTCATTGCAGAATTGTGAATACATAGTTTGTTTAATTTTAACTAGGACTCGAGTTTTCGACCTTTTTGATATATTTGTGTACATCACCAAGTGTTACTCTTTTCGTTGAAATCATCTAGTATGATGTTTGTCTGAGAATTTTGCAACACTTTCGACAGTATTTGAAGTAGTAATTTTTCTGTTTGGAGAGAATATACCGATATAATCGTGTAAAATTTGTTGTTTACTAATATCGAAGCAGCGTTCATGTTTGGCTATTGTTGACAATGCACAGATATAGGTTTTAATTGTTTGCCTATGAGTGATAATTTGAATATAAATTTGATTGCGTTTACAACAGCTTTGAGTTTCATTATGAAAGAAGAGCGTTCTCATAGCGCTGAACGCGATAGATAGAGGTTCTTGGTGGTTCACCGGTTGGTCAAGATAAACAACTGACTCGGTCTTTCTTTAATTCTGAATAAGAAAACATCTGATCCTGGGTCATTTTGTACTATCAAGAAAATGGCAATTGAACTGCCGAAACGTTGACAAATAAAAGAAAAAAGAAATATCAATGAAACAACACTATTCTTTCATAAATGAAACTCAAAGTTGCTGTAAATGCAATCAAATTTAATTGAACACTGATTTCAAAATTTTGAATTGTGTAGCTCTTCAAGGATTAGCCTGATGGATGTTTACGGTATTCGGGATCAAATGGTCTTGTAATTCTCCCTCCAAAGTATTGTTGTATCGAGCTGCCGTATAATATATTGCTTGCAATTAATATCTACTAACAATCATTTTCTCTTCAGATGTTTTCTTCAGTATGGACGGTTGTCTTTTTGATAAATGCTCTTTGTTTCCAATATGTCATTGGTAGTAGAACAAATGTGAGAAATCGACCAAGTGTGCGCCGCAATAGCAAGTTGCCGTCCACATTTGACTATATTGTACTTGGAGGTGGTATTGGCGGATCTGTTGTAGCTAATCGTCTGAGCGCTTCTGGTCACTATAACGTCCTTCTGCTGGAGGAAGGAACCAATGTCGAGGATGATCCGATGGTGTCAATTCCATATCATTGGGATATTACTGTTGGATCATCACTTGATAGAAATGATCTGATTGGGCCAAATGAGCCAGTAGTGACATACAATTTCAATGGGCGACAATTAGCTAGCGGTAAGGCACTTGGTGGAACTTCTACAATAAATGCCGAGATGTATGTGCGCGGACATTCTCTTGACTATGACCGATGGGCCGAACAAGTGGGTGATGAGTGGAACTATGCAAATGTTTTGCAATATTTCAAACGAGCTGAGACATCTTCTCGCTACGCCACGAATCCTGACTATCACGGAAACACGGGGCCTCTCCATATTAGTTCGGGTGGTTACGAACCTGTAGAGGACGAACTTCTTGTTCGCGCATGTCAAGCTTTCAACATCACTTTCGTCAACGATTGGAATGGTGCTCAACAAATCACTTCGCCTCTTGGCTCTATTGGATTCCATGAATTGACTATTTTCAATGGGACCCGTCAAACTGCCTTTGGTTCTTATATTCAACCTATTTTGAACCGAAGTAACCTTTGGATTCAGGATTCTAGTTTGGTCACCAAAATAAACTTCAACAATTATAAACAGGCTACGAGTGTCGATTGGTATGATTTAGAAACGAAAGAAGCTCATACGAGCTTGACCTCGAAAGAAATTATCGTCTCCATGGGAACTCTGAGAACTGCCCAGCTTCTTCTTCTTTCCGGCATCGGTAACTTTACCAAATTGAATGCACTTGGCATTCCAGTTATCCAAGATTTACCTGGGGTTGGTGAGAATCTCCAGGATCATGTACTCACTACTGTAACCTGGAGTGTCAACAACAATCCATTTCCGGTTCCGCTCGGATCAGTTGTCGATGAAGCTGCTTGGGATCTGTACAACCATAATCGCACTGGCATTTTAGCTTCCGTTAAAGCTCGTACAAACATGTTCCTTCGTACCAAATTTCAGTCGGCTGCAGATCCTCGCCCTGACGTTCAAGTGATTGCGACGACGCCTAGTGGCAACAGCTTGTTTGCTTTGGTCTATTTACTTCATCCCCATTCAGTGGGTCATATCACTATTGTTTCGCGTGATCCTAACGATCGCCCCATTCCTCAAATGAACTATTTCTCCGATCCTGATTCACATGACGTAAACGTTATCATGGAAGGCATACGCCTTGTCGATCAAATCTACAGCACTACTCCTATGCACAACACAGGCTTTTCCAGTTTCAACAATTTATCAGATGACTCAGAGTTTAAAAGGTATTTGTATGGAAGTAGATATTCTGCTGCTAATACGAATTCCGGAAAACATTTAATTGGAACTTGCAAGATGGGTACTGATCCGATGGCTGTCGTTGATTCACGTCTTCGTGTTCGTGGTGTCCTTGGTTTGCGGGTGGCTGATGCTTCAATCATGCCATCCATTACTTCAGGTAATACGCAAGCTCCAGTTTACATGATCGGAGAAAAAGCTGCTCAAATGATTCTGGACGATGCGGTTAGTGGTTCTACACAACGTTAAACTGAAGTTACAAGTTTTCTGATTCTGCTTTTAGTTTCTTTTAATGATGTTCTGAAAACCGTCTAACTATACAAGTACTCTTATTTTTGAAAATGCGCACTGTTCCACATTAAAACTGGTAGCTTGCTTCATTGCTTTTATCGTTACTGTATGGCTAGTATGCATCATTGAAATAGAGTTACAGATTAGAAGAGCAATACAAGAACATGCTAACTGAACAATTCGTCGGTGAACGTTCAACACTTTTGACAGAGCTTTCGTCTGTCGAATAACACGAAACTTCTAGGCATTTTTATTATGATACTTATCACAAGAGCGGAAATAATGGTGCATGGTGTGTGTGGGTGTGGGTGTGGGGTGTGGGTGAGGGTGCGGTTGGCGTGGGCGTGGTGGATGTGGGTGGGTGGGTCTGGGTGCGGGGGGTGGGGGTGGGGTGTGGGTGTGGGTGTGGATGTGGGTGGGTGTGTGGGTGTGGATGTGCATGTGGTTTTCTCTTCACCCACATCCATCGCTACCCACACCCATATCCCACTCACACCACGCCCACACCCACACCCACGCGAGACATCCACGCCCACACTCACGCCACACACCCATCGACATCCACATCCTTGGAGAAAAATTGCTTTTCATCAAAAAATTAACCTTTATTAAAAGACAGTAGAAGTTTAAATAGCAAATACGTACATCAGCAAAGCTTTTTTTATTATATAAAAATTCGATGCACTTCAGTGTGCCGATTTTGAATATATATCTTTTTTCTATCGATTAAATTTTTTTTAAATAAGAGACAATAGGTAGAAGAAGATTCCGGCGACGTTTTGAGGTTGAATATAGCGAGCTTGGCCATGTTATGGAACTGGTTGTTTGGATGAAGCTGTAAGAAGGGTTTCACTGAAAGAAAATAAGTACTCTCTTTAATTGTTTTATTTCTTCCAGCTATTATATTACCAGTAAATGTCTTAGATCTCTTTGAGGATTCAAAAGAGTTCATTCAGAAAGTAAAATATAATTTTATTGAATGTACGAGAAATTATAAATTAGTGTCTATTGGTGATATTTAATAAGAATGATTGTTTAAAAACTTCATATACATATTTCGAGAATATATTAAGTTAAGTTCTAAGAATATTATTTCAATGAAAGATTTGAATTAATTGTTACTTGTTAAATATTTTGTGAACTAGTTCAAAAGAAATCTATCGTAAGCAAACAAAAAGTGGACTAAAAATTAGTAGAATAAAGTCAGAACTGTGTACTTTTTTTTGGAAAAAAAGATCATTTAAAGAAGTTAAATCATTTTAGACTTGTATAGACATTTGGAAATTTCTAAATATATTTGTTCTAGTGATTCATATTCCGAAAAATAATCTCTACTTTGTAATTAAATTTTCTAATTATCTATGTTTTCCACATCAATACTACCATTTGAATTGAAATTAACATCAGCAGATAATTTCAAATGAGTTGCATTTGAGCTCCAAGATTGACTCAGCGACTACTGTTTCTTTTAATACATCGTACAAATAAATTCTTCGATGAAGTTCTAATTTCTGCTACCACCTACCTGTCTGTCAGAAAGTATTTATGATTGCTCTAAAGTAATGAAAAATCATTTTTAATGACTGGCCAACAGATTTCTCTTTCCGAACGTACCAAGTATTATCAGACTCAGTCTGTTTTTACGGCGGACACTGCTTCACAAAATAGAGAATTCAAATAGTGTATTTTGTACGGTAACGTTTGATGTACCAGCTGATACATAAATAAATATTCTAACTGCTTAATTTGGAATTGAAATAATAACGATGTAAAATATTTTGGTCTAAATTAATTTTTAAAAATTTTTCAAAGATTATTTCTCTACTGTCAAACAAAAGCTCAGATAACATTTTAAAGTCGATTATTGAATGGGAGTACCAATTTAAAGTTTTCGACTCTTCTGAAATGCTTTCTAGGGAAGCGAAAGATGAAAAAAACGCTATGTCTAAAAACTTTCCGATCATTAGTTAATAGTACTATGACCAACACTTTTGAAAAGTTTTTTATGTTTTTGTTCTCAATATTCTACCTTGTTTAAAGTCGCTATAACACAAAGAAAAAGGTCAATGATACCAGAACACGTTTAGTCATTCTCCAAGAGAAAGAGTGTTATTAGCTAGTGCAGTTTGTGTTAGTAGAAATGTGTTGTTGAATCGGCACAAGTTTTCTTTCTTGATATTGATAGGCTTCTCAACTACAACAAATTTTATTATCGAAATATTGCCATTCGTCGAAGAAATTGAATTAAATTATTTAATAATCCTTTCTGTATTGTTATTATACCAAGATATTGTGAAATCAAATAATATTCATTCAATAATAAATCTCAATATTTATCTTTATAACCGAATCATAAAACTGATTATGTATTTAATTTTTTATAAAATGGAACTTATATCTCTTTTATTTGTGAAAATAAAAATAGTTTATTTTAAAAAATCTTTAGATCTATGTTTGAATGTGGTCAATAACCTTCAGTTATATTTCGATACCGTGTTATTACCGTTTTCAGTTTAAAAAAAATTTCCATCAGAAGGCAACAATCGAACAAAAAAAATAAATTCATTCGATCGCATTTTTGGCTTATACATTAGGCATCAAAAAAGTGCTTAAAGAACACAGTGCAAATGAATGCATTCTTTTTGTTTATCAAATCTAGCATTTTAGGTCAAGATCAGTAAATTTTCATTATTCAAGTTTATATCTATAACAAAATCTCTATTATCACAACTCAAGATCCATTGAACAATCTTATAGTTTTCTGTTCTTAAAAGCTGAATATATTTGCTAACGTTTGGTTATGATTAAGATTTTAGCAAACTAGTTCTTTGATTTTCATGATATCAAACTAGTTTCCACTGTTAGAAATCGCGCTCTTTCTGGTAGTGCGCGCAAAATCGAACGTTGTCATCGTTTCGGTCTCTACTATGAATTCATTTAGTTGTTAAAACTCAATCATTCCATTCATGTAATTTGTTCGTACACTTTGTTGTTGCTTTACAGATTACAGCGTCTAGCAGAGACAAAAATCAAAATAGAATTTATAATTGATATACAAAAATGTAAATTTTTTTCAATAAATTAAGTTTACTCTGCTCGTTACTCATTCTCGAAAGTTTCTCATATATCGATTTTGAACTATTAGTTTCAATGTTTCTTCAAGAGTCGACTTACATGGGTTAGATTTAAAATTTCTCAAACAAATTGTGTCAATCCAATACTTTGAGTTATAAATACTGCTGAAAACAATGATGAAATCGCAAGATCTTTCTTTTTTAAACCTTGTAATTGTATATTACAGTAGATTTTAAAAAAGACATATATCTATTGATCGATTCATATCTTGAAAAACGAGTATTTCATTTTTAAACTTATTCTACGTATTATTATAAGAGTAGACTGACATTTTTATCAATTCAATTTCACTGAAATAAAACTTATATAACAGGATAAAAAAAGAATATTCCGAAGCACGACAAATTCTTTATTTGTTTATTATTTCTATTATATGCAATAATATTTAATTTACACAATCTACATAAATATTGTTTTCTCTCGAACAAAAGAGTACAGGTATTGATTAGTGAATAATCAACAAAAAGAAAGCAGTCTTGTCTTATGTTTTGAATACAATTATGCTCATACTTATTCATATGCATGTGTAACAAATGAAAAACAAATTATTTGAACAAATTTTTAAAAAAATCTATATGTTATTTTAACTATTTCGAGTAGAATTCTCAATGAAATGAAACATCTCTAAGTTTAGTAAGACTTTTTTTTATTTTTTGGGTCGAGATGCAACAAGCGAATTGAAGATGTAAAATTGAATGTTTTACACAGAAAAAAAATACAATAATAAAACGATTTCAAAAGCGTCTATAATGTTGATCGGTCTAAGTCAGAGAAGTTCTATTGAACTTGAAGATGTTTCATTTTCTAGAAAAATCATATGTTCTTGTCTTTCTTATAGTCTGTAGAAAATAATATTTGTTCATTGGAAATGTTCAAAAAACTACAGGCCTGATTTTCTAATGATTGTGTCTTAGAAAGTCGAATAATCATTTTGATTTCTTTATATTCATATGATCTATAGGACATTTTTTCTACTTGAATCATTACGAAGCGTCTAAGACAGCTGAAAAAATTGAATATATACTATGGGTTACAATTTTTGTACAAAAGAAATATAACGACGCAGATTCATCAGTAATACTTTTCATTTTCGCAAACATTTCTGTAAATAATTAATGAAAAACAGTCTGACATAAGGTTTTTTTTTCTTTTTTATATAAACAAAGCGAAGAATATAAAATGAGGACGGCATCCTTTTTCGTATTCATTTAAGTTAAATTCAATTCTATGAAAAAAGCTAAAGAAGGAGACTCTAATACACTGAAAATATTTTCGGAACCAACTATTTTCAGCATTCAAATATACATATTTTTTTATTATTATTAAGAATTAATTGAAAGCTTATTCATAGTTTTATGATTTATTTTTTCTACTTCTATAATTCTTTTTTAGAATAACAAAATATTTTCGATATCAGAGTTGATTAACTATTCAATTTAATTTGCGTTAGAATATGTCGGCTATACATGTATTACCATCTTCTATTATAGATACTCAATCGGTACAGCCAAAAATGCTGGTAAAAGTATCCCATGCCAATTATCGAAATCCTGAAAACTTTCATCAACAGAACGCGTCTATCATGTCCAATCAACAAATGCAATTATATCGGCCATCATCTCAACGCTATTATCTTTCAACGAATTCACCTTCAATTAAACAAGGATCTATAAAAACAGATGCATTTGAAGATACTATACAAAATTCAAATTTGTCGAAAAAAGATATGTGAGTATTTGCAGTTTATAATCTATAGATTTTTATATCTGAATAAAACGCTCTTTTTTGTAGAAACGTGCAAGTATGGAAAAAACTTAGACCGATACTCATCGGCTTCATCGTGACTCTTGCTTTGGCCTTATGTGCCATTGCAGGTTTGGTTATATTTATAACTGTAAAACCAAACGAAAAATCTTCTTCATCGAGTACGTATTTTTTTCTAATTTTATTAAATATTAGATGAGATATTGAAATGCTAAAAAGGCATGAAACTATCATCTGAAGAAGTTTATCGTTCCAATAATTTTATGACCACTTTAAATCATCTTCTAAATAGATAGTTTTACTCAACAAACATGTGATTCTACCTGTGTCATGTCAGGAACTCCGTATCGTCCATCAACTATTGCATATTGGCCATTCAATGGTAATCTTTACGATTCGAATAATATCTATTCTGGTATCTACATGCCAACAACATCTTCACCTTCTTATGTGGTCGGTGATATCGATCAATCCATATCATTGAATGGAACTAGCTATGTTCTTGTGAATTCACATTTCCTCAATCTAAGCTATCGAAGTTGGACCATAGAAGCGTAAGTATAGTATTGAATAAATTATGATTACCATTCTATCAAATTGATATTTCTCGACTAGATGGATTTTGTTATATGATGTAACTACTGAACATGGTATTTTCAGTCAGTGTCAATCATCTACAACAACTGATAAATGCTTGAATATAGGTGTTAAAAATAAACGTTTATATTGTAGTTTCTACAATGATGATGTCTATGGTGCCACTCTTTTAACAGCATCATCGACCAAATGGTATCATATAGCTTTCGTATATGACTACAGTTTAATGAAACAATCAATTTATCTCAATGGAGTTCTTGATGGAACAACATGGACATCTGGAACATCATCCGGTCCATATAAAGGAACTACAGGTACTGTTACGATTGGTCGAGAATATAGTGGTTATTATTTCAAGGGTGATATTGATCATTTACAAGTAACAAGTGTTGCCAAAACTGCATGTCAAATTTTACAGGATGCATCACTCACTGCCTATTATTCATTCGATGCTGATGTTTTGAATCTCGATCTGAGTAATAATTATATTAACGGTTTATCGAATTCAATAAGTACTGTCTCAGGTCGTATTAATGAAGGCTATTTATTTCAAGGAACATCAGCTTATTTTCAAACAACGGCATTCACAGCGTACAAGTCTGGAAGATCATTCAGTGTTTCTTTATGGGTAAAACCATATTCTGTGGTAGGTGGTACATTGATTCATCTATCAACTAATAATGATGGTTCAGGTACAGCTTGTTTCGATCTGTTAGGATTTAGCTCAACAGGTCAATTAATCGCAAATTTATACTACTCCGATGGATGTTGTGTGTGGACTTGTTCTTGTCATTATAGTACTAGTATCGGTGGTCCATTTATAAATACCACCATATGGACACATATTGTTTTGACATACAGTTCGAGTAATGGTATGGCACTTTATACTAATGGAACATTGAATGCAGTCAGCGATGCTTTCACATCATTTTCTACTAACGTATATGCTTTTACAAGTCGACCATACATGACTGTTGGGAACCCATCAAATGCAGGCTCGGTGCCTTCAGGATGTCTAACTGCGAGTCCGGCACTTTCTCCAGGTCATTATCAAGGTGTAATTGATGACTTGAGAATTTATAGTCGTGAATTAACAACATCGGAAATATGTTCTCTATTTAATCCATAAAACACATCCTATAATATTATATTTCATTTAATTAAGAACAATGATTATTCTTTTTGTTTGTATTCATTTCATCGGTATTTCTTTAATCATGCTATTTCTTTTTTTTTACTAACATTTTTTGTTTAAATTAGCTATATTATTTGAAGATTTAACAAAGAGTAAATTTTTTTCTACTTTTTCTCGTGTTCTACAAAAACCTAAACAAGCAAGTCTATTACTCTTATTTTTTTATTTACAAATAAAATTCAAATAACATATTGCAACTACTTTAAATTTATTCTCATATTTCAGTATTTTGTTAAGAAGAATTTTCTAAATTGAAAAATTATAAAAGTTATACATACATTGCCCTAGCTTCGATTTTATTGAGCACGGAATAGATTCGATTTTCCACTATTGTTGGAGGGTGGGTGTGGGTGTGGGTGTGGGGTGTGGATGTGGGTGGTTGTGGCTGTGGGTGGGTGTGTCTGAGTGTGAGTGGTGGGTGTGGGTGGGTGTGAGTGTGGGTGTGAAGGCAAGAAGAACATCACTCACGCTCACATCCACACCCACCACACACACCCACACCCACACCCCACACCCACACCCACATCCACACCCCACACCACACACCCACACCCACACCCACACCACATCCACACCCACACCTACACCCACATCCCACACTCTCACCCCAGCAGCGATGGATCACATACAAGAGGAAAAATCTCATTCCCATCTATTCGAAATGTCCGAATGGAGTTTTTCCTGTCCTTCATAGATTCGAGCGATATCACTCAAAGAAAACTATTGACTCATAGGAGTAGAAATCCAATCAAAAGAGAAAAAATACCCATTAAAAGATGATAAGTAAGAGAACGAAAAATAGTGTAAAATGTGAAGTTGCGGAGAATGCATGAGAAATTGCATAATAAAGAACGCGTAAGCAATTATCAATGTGTGTATGTCAATACAATACTGATTTTTGAAGAGGAGAGAATAGGAAAAAAAGAAAAGTAAATCACCCATATTGTTTTTCTTCTTGCAAAATGAGTGTGTCGAATAAATATATGAATATTTTTTTTATTTTATCCCCTTAAAATGTGCAAGGTATTATCCATGCATATCTTATTATCATAATTGTGAAAAATCACTGCTCATTGATTCACAAATAAATATTATTTGGTAAAAACCAAAGCACATCACTGAATATAAATACAGAAAATAGCTTACTTTCAACATTTACAACAACAACAACAGCTCCAATATATTCCAGTATTCATTTGCATCGTAAGTATATCTAATTAACTAAAAAAAGCTGTTTTTGGCAATGATTTTTATGTAATACTTTCCCCCAGAAATTTTGTTTCTCGATCTGGATAAATGTAACACTTGGGAAAACCTAATTTCGGGGACGAGTTTTGATTTATCTAATAGAACAATAATTACAATCGTATAAGATTGAGGCAGTAGGCAGTATATTGCTAATGAAGAAGGGTGGGTGTGAAAAAATTTGATCGCCAACTCGTAAATAATTCTTCTTCCAAAACGTTAATACAGAAAAATAAATGCGGAAACTTCGAATTTTATCCGAGAGTTATGTGTACTGCAAAAAGTGTGTGAGAAAGCACGGATATCATACAGATATATTAACATGTTGCAATAACTCAGAAATGGCTCATTAATCAGGCTCATCTTCTAACTCGACCGAAATATTGATGAGACAAATCTGGGCACAAAAATTTTCGCCCAACCGCTTGTATTTTTGAAGAGTTATCGTGTAAACGGCCGGACGGACACACTGATCGATTCTAGTAGTGTACTCACTTTTTGAGTACACAAAACCTCCCTATGTAGTTTTCTTTCTTACTGTACTCTCTAAAAACTAGGAATTCTCCGGGAATTTATTAAAGGACAGTTGACTAAAAAAACTGAGCGGACCGAAAGGAATAAATAAGACAATTCAACAAAGATATATTGAATATGAGATTTTTCTGTGATTTCTAGACCAAGATAATTGTAATTTTTTGTGGAACTATGTCAGCATCTACTCAGCTTGAATGTGGCGGTCGAGCTTGTCCTCAATGTGGAAAATGTCGTGATTGGGATCCCACTTATGGCAATAAGTATAAGCGTCGTGATGATGGAACTTGCCGTGATAATACTGACACTCTTTATGATGCTCTTTTTCGTGTTGGACTTGCTGTTGCTGATGCTCGTCCTTCTGCTCGTATATCTGCTAGAATTCCCCGTGACCATGCTGCTAATCGTTGTCGTCGAGGTATGGTCAGATTTCCGAAAAAGGAAATTACAGAAATTTCTGAAACTTCCACAATCTTGAAAACTACATGGCAATGCAAATCAAAAGTTTTTAACAGTGTTGGAAATTTCAGAAATTTTAGAAATTTCACTAATTTCCGAAATTTCGGTAAGTACAGAATTATGGAAATTTTGGAAATTTTGGAAATTACATCATTTTGGGAAATACTGAACAATTCAAAACATTAATGTTGGAAATTTCCAAAATTTCCGAAATTTCCTTTTTCGGAAGTCTGAACACTGCTGTTGTCGTCATGCTGTCGATGATCTTGACGCTGCGTTTAATGCTGCTATTCTTGATGGTGATCTTCGTGATGTTGTTATTGATGCCCTTAATCGTGCTGAAATCATTGCTTCTAATATTGATCTTGCTCGTGATGAGGATGGTTTTGCTATTCTTAAAGCTACTAAAGCTGTTCGAGAAGCTCAGCGTGATCATGTATGCCATTGTAAATAAAAGGCTGGAAAAGAGGACGTTAATTACTGTGACAGTTTGAACTAATATTATCTTCTCTTCTCTTTCCTTTTCTGGGGTGTGGGTATGGGTGTGGAGTGTGGGTGGGTGTGAGTGTGGGTGGGGTGTGGGTGTGGGTGTGGGCGTGGGTGTGGGTGTGGGTGTGGATGGGTGTGGATGTGGGTGTGGGTGTGGACGTGGGTGTTGGATGTGGGTGGGGTGGGTGGGGGTGTGATTCAGGGGGTGTGTGTTCTTGTCTTACATCCACATCCACACCCACACCCACACACCCCACCCACACAGCCACACACCTACACCCACCCACACCCACACCCACACCCACACCCACATACCCATACCCACACCCCAACCTTATTCCACCTTCCAAAGATGTGAAATATCTTTAAAACATTTTAATAATACAAATTAAACAATTATTCATTCAACTGCTTTACGATTGTGTTAGGATTGCAATATAGCCAGAATGAGATATGTAGTAAAAAACAAGTTTTCCAATCAGATTTATATTCTATCCCGATGCTATAATTGCCACTGTGATGTGAATCATCTCTCCATTGTTTTAAACACTTTCTATTGCATTTTTCATAGGCATCCATAGTTCTTGTTAACTTCACACTGTAGAAAAAAATGCACGACATACATTCTGTTTACACACTTGATGCTTGTATTGAAAGCAAGTAACTGACGATGCAAAATTTTACAAGAGAGTGAATACTTTGTTGTTCTCGTGATATTTTGCCGTTAGTCAAATTGAAAGCAGGTATTGTTATAAAAAACATTTTTTTCAATTTTGTGGTGAACGATCAACTGCAAAATATTTAGACATTCTCTCAGTAAATATGGGCTCTTCAAATAGTCATCCTAACAGTGCTAATGCACAAACTGAATCTGCTCCTGAATCATACAGAATCGAAAGTGCATCAAATGATTCTGATCCTCCATCTAATCAACATAGAATCCAAAGTCCACCATTAAAGTCCAACTTTAATGAAATGTTAAACAACCCCAGAAGTTCTCCTGTAGAGCAAAACAATACAACATCACAACGATTTTATAGAATTTCTATCAGTACATTTAATCTTCTGGAACTTATTGATGGCTACCTTAATGAACCGATAGTATCTCTCGAAGAAGCTCTTGAACCTGTTGGTAGGACAATTATCGATTTGCCTACCTACATTGAAGAAGCTAAGACTAAATGTCATTATCCATCGGAACATGGGCTTAGTCGGGATGAATCAGCTGCTATCTATATTTACACAATGGCATTAAAGAAAAAAACATTTTTTGATCATTTTCAAGAGGCATGGAATTCTAGAAGTCGATCGACAATGAAGCCTTGGGTGAAATACATAAGATTATTTCGAAGTGCACTTGATAAACTACCTAGAGCAAAAAATGAAGTTTGGCAAGGAATGGCTAATGATGTAATGCTTGAAAAGATATTAACATCAAAATCACCGTTTCTTTATTCGTGCTTGAGTTCATGCTCACCATGGAATAGTGAAGTTGTGGATTATCTCCAGAAGAATGTTAGCAAGAATTTGATGATCGTTGGTTATAAATCGGTAAATGGAAGATCGGTAACCGGCTATACAGCTGATCAAATGGACGAAGTCATCATATGGCCTGGTGTGAAATTGACCCCAAAACATTACGTCATTGTCAAAGAAACTTCTTCAATTATTGTTCATCTCGTAAGACAGGATGGTAAGTTGTCTTGTCATATATTTATGCATTTTTCTGTCTACTAAAATATATACAAAAATATCTTTTATGAATTTAGATCCACCAGGATTATTACACAACAAATCTGCAGTGACTGAGCCACACTTTGTATGCCAAAATAAGGGTCGAGGTCATTCTTCCATAATGAGATATATTTTTGTAGTATATACAAGCATTGTTTACTTTACCATGAATCATATTGTTAAATAAGTTTCTTGTAATAATGAACATTGTTCAATAACCATGTTCCAATAGCAATTTTATTGATCTTTACACGGATACTGGAGTGAACTAAATACATCAAGAAATCTATTGTTGCCGTGGTACTCATGCTACTTTCCTTTGTAATGGATGCATTTTCCTTTACAATTGATTATTTATCCTCTGGCCATTTTTCTATGGTAGCATGAATATATTTGAGTAGTGGGTTATCTGATAGATGAATAGAATCATAATCATACTTGCGAACGTCATCGTGAGGATGCATATCATGATTGTTCATAATGCATTTAAAATCGGCGAACTCACGAACATCTCTGAACTTTAACGCCAAGATGAAAGAAATAAGTGAACAGCCGGTAAATGTATGGAATGTGGCAAATGTGATACAGATTCATTGTTTGTGGGTCTTTGTTCATGTGTAGGATATCGAATATTCGTCTGATAGAACAATCAATATATGAACAGAATTATTACCCGACCATACGCGAATGCAATTGGTGTAGAAGCCGTTAGAAGGAATTGTTTTTTATGTTATCACGTGTCAATCTACGAATTATATGAATGTTGAAAGGAGAATGAAGTTGTTGAAAAAGATAGTTATTGTGAGAGGTGCTGCCTTCATAGTTATTCATCTATTATGACTGAGAGAGAAATGAAAATGACAACCTTCGATAGTCTGATTTCATGAATTCTGAACTATAAAAGAAGTTGGGACACGGCGATTAGTGAGAACTGCACAAGCGCTCGCATTTCGTGAATACTGAATCGATTTTAGAAATATGTATTGAGAACTTTTAAAACTCAAGATTCGAAGGTCTTTCAAAAGTGAGAGCAAGGATAAGCTTTGCCGTGAATATTATATTGATCACCAATCTTCTTCATGACCCGAATCACTTTGAGAACGTGACATTTTGATATTGAAAAAAATAATTCATTAACATTTATTCTCCGGAATTCATGTGAATCTACTTAGGGATTTACTAATAAATTTTAAAAAAATACACCTATATAGCTATTGAATTTCTACGTCAAACCAAAAAATTCCGAGGGACATGAGCGATAATAAATCTTATCTAATTGTTATTAAAACCGGTTTAGTATAATTCGAAAAAATTGAACTTAAGCTTATGGTTATATAGTCCAGCTACTGTAATATTCTGAATCACCTCGCAGCAATATATTTTAATTTTGTCGTTATGTACAACGCGTTAAAAAGACCCCAATATTTTTGTTCCGATGGTTCACTATGATAATATCTGGTTCTTTGTCTACGTTGACATCAGCAACGGGGTGTGGGTTCGGATCTTTTCTTATTCCACCCACACCCACACTCACACCCTTCAGTGCACATGAACTTGTACGAAACCGTTTGGCAGTATTTGTAATAATGGTGTAATGCAAAACGATCTGCACGAAACCTTTCTTTCCTCTTTCTGGTATAGGTTTAGTGCAGAGCTTTTTCTGCGGAAATTTTTTCTCGTTTCTATCAAATGGTTTGGTACAAAATCTGTGACGAGAAACCATTGCTCCAGTTTTCTACTAATGGTTTTACTCAAAATCTTTGGTACGAAACCCCATTTATTTTACAAAACTGAAAAAACATCTTACTGTGTACCGAGGATAAGATCCTTGTTAGACTCTGTAAAATACCCTTTTTTTTGGAGTGTACCCTTCACCCACATCCACATCTACATCCCCTTTTAGTTAATTGCTATTTAAGTTTTCTCTGAAGTATTTACGTAGTCTTATGTTTCTAATTCGTATTTATACTATCGTATTACGGTTGGAGGTTATATATCTTTTTTAAATAGTTCATCAAATTCATTGAGAAAATTTTTACTCAATAATAGTATCTTTCTAAATGTGAATGTTGTTGTTTTTGTTTTTACTCAACAATGACATACCGCACTAAACTATTAGATCTCTCGAGTAATTATGTTATTTTGATAATCATAACTTCTTTATTTTCTTATAAAGACAGTTTTTTTTTCCAGCCAATTATTTTACTAAGATTAGTATGCAAAACAAAAATTTCTACTAGCGTCAACATGCAGCTCAGTGCAACGAACATTAAAGACAGGTATAGGCAAGCTGAAGAAGTTCATAGACTGTCATCAGCAGAATAGGTCTTAGAAAACTGGGTCTGTGTGAATCTCTACTAGGTTATAAAAGCCTGTGTTGTGAAAAAAGCCGAAGATTTTAAAAACCTTTAAAGATCAAGTATGTATTTATGGTTATGATGCACTAGATTGATATACATTTCTGAACTATTCATAGGTTTGTCCCAAGGGTTTGGCACAGTTTTACTTGTGTTGGGTAGCAAAATTCTTAAAATGCATGTCCCAGTTGATATAAAATATCATGGATTTATTTTATTAATATTTCAACATAGATGCCGAATGTAATTAATATCGCACGAATTCACTTATTTGACTCTCAAAATCTTCTTCTTGCATGCATCAAGATGACAGCAGGCTCACTGCTCGACTGAACTTTACAAAATATATGAGTTGTCACACAAACGGCATCAATGATTTCTGCTTCGTCACTTTCTTAGAGATGACAGTCGTCTTGAGATACTTCTGTATAATATTGCTATATGTGAGAGGAAAGCTGCAACAACAAACTAATAAGGTTTATCAAACGAAACAATGAATTTATTAAAATAAGATAGTTATCTTTACATACAAAGTTATCACGAGTGAACACTCAAAATGCAACTGGATCCAAAACAAATTATCCCCGACGGGAATTACACTCAACAAAATACTTCTATTTTACTCATTAATGAGTCGATAAGATTCAATATTTTACTTGCACTCCAAGTGCCACCGTTCATTTGTTATGTTTTCATCCTTATCTACATGCTCACTCACAAAACGCATCGTTCAGCACCTAATAATTATTGCCTTCTCATTATCTTAATTCTCCAGTTTTTTTGTAACATGTTGGATATTCCATCGCAGATGTATTTTTATCGAAGAGGCCGAGTATTATTTGAGAGTGGTGCCTATTGCTATATATGGCAATTCATCTCTTATTGTACTTGGACGATCAGCTTGCTTTTACTGGCATAGGCTTCATTTGAACGGCATATTCTGATTTTTCATGATCGCCTTCTTCGTTCTAAGTGGAGAAATATATGCTTGCATTATGTACCACCTTTTATTATTATTGCATACGTCATATGCTTCTATATCTATGCTTTTGCTTTTTATACGTGCAAAAATCCATTTCTATTTCAGGTGAACTACTGTAATAGTGCCTGTCATACAAACAATGCATCTATGATGTTGTGGATCAGACTCGTTAATTATATGTTTCCTTCAATATTTACTACTCTATTCAGTGTGGCACTTTTGGCTCGTGTGATATACTCAAAACATCGTCTTCAACGAGCATTTAGTCGGAGAAAGCACAGTAAAATGGCTTATCAACTTCTTTCTATATCACTTCTCAGTGTGGTAGTCATTTTACCGTACAGTACCGTCAGTTTCTTGGGTTTTGTTGGTTTCAAGTTTATATCAAAACCAGTAATAAATATGTTCGCCTTCATAGCTCTTATAAAGCCTCTATGCGTACCTTTTGTATACCTAACATCTATAACAGAACTTTGGAAAATAATTAAAACAAAAATCCGTCTTGCAACTATTCACAAAATAACTCCGATGTGCTCAAATCGAAAATAATCATAGTTTAACTATCAACTATATCCTTGACGAAACTTACTTATATACAGTGTGTTCCAAAAGTCCGGACGAAAAAGAAAATTCCATATCTCCACCACTCTTTCACCAAATTAGCTTATTTTTTCCCTGTTGGTGGAGGATAGTTTAAAGTTTTGTTTCATAAAAAAACCGTTAACAGATACTGCTCTGAGCTATCACTTTTGACTTCAATATCGAAATGTACCTGTTTTCGATTTTTAAAACACGACTTTCGCTGGAGAGTCTCCAAGACGATTCATTTTGACCTGAAATTTTGTCCACATTGAGGCCTCAGTTAGACTAGCTTGTGTGCAAAATTTCTGAATTTTTTGATCTAGTCTTTCCGAGATATGAATTTTTCAAAATATTCATTGTTTGCAGAATGTCGATGAAAAAACACCTAAATTTTTTAAAAACTCATATCTCAGGAAGACTATATCGAAAGATTGGGAAATTTTGCACACAAGCTAGTCTAACTGAAACCTCAATATGGGCAAAGATTTAGATCAAAATTCGAAACCATAATTTTATTCCATAAAAGTTGGGGTCATAGAGGGAATAAGTTAGTAAGAATTCTATATCCTGGCGAAAGTCGAACAATAGCATGAGCCCTTTGGTAGTTGTTATAGTCTAGTGGTTCCCTACCACTGGAGAAAATATGGCCTCAAAATCATTTAATCATCTCGGTAAATCTTTAGCGAAAGTGGCTCTTTTAAAAATCGAAAATAGGTACATTTCAATATTGAAGTCAAAAGTGATAGTTCAGAGCAGTATCTGTTAACGGTTTTCTTATGAAACAAAACTTTAAATTATCCTCCACCAACAATGAAAAAATAAGCTCATTTGGTGAAAGAGCGGTGGAGATATGGAATTTTCTTTTTCGTCCGGACTTTTGGAACACCCTGTATATATACAAATAAATAAATAAATAAATAAATATTGAAATCTTATGCTTTCGGGGCGTGGGCTGAATGTGAGTGAAGAAATGAGCTACACTCACACCCACACCCTTCTTATAAGACACATACAATTTAGATGTTTGCTTCAAAAATATAATTATGGAGGGAAACCTCCAAAAATCTGATTGAATTTGGGCC